CTAGATATTGCTTCACACTTGGGACAAAATATATTTAAGAAATCAAAATGGAAAGATATCTCACATTTGGCCATGCTCTTAACAACTCCGTTGTTAAGTTTGAAACGTAAAGGGTATCCCGTTGATCGTATACTGGCAAGTTACAAAATACCAGTTCGCGTTGCTGATAAATACGAACCGCCGAAATCCTCAGCGCGATTAGTAGAAAAAACTAGCTCCTCGAATTCGCCCCTGGAAATTGAAAAACTCGTTAAACAACTGCAAGACACGTACCCAGATTGTGATCCAGCTTTCATTCATCAACTTCTCGTCAAAGAAAAATTTGATATGAATAAAGTAGCTAACAATTTAGCCGATACCAATTATCCAAAAATTTCGAAAACTCCTCTTCATGGTTCTAACAACAACGATGGTGATGATGGGTCAAAGAATAATGGATGGAATTTACTTGAAAAGATGAAATCTATTTCAAACTATGTTACCTCACCGAACGGTGTTAGCGGTCAGGTTCCTGTTCAACCTCAACAGGTTGTTGAATCAAAATCTTCGGTCGGTGAATTACCGCCCATTACCAAACCAATTGAAGTTAATCCTAGGACCACCAAAAATCTGCACAATGCGCTTCGTGAAGCTGTCAAATCAAGCCGTTCAAATTCGGGAAGTGTCATCGATAGTCAGGCAACGGTGAAAGTTGTTACTGAAAGTCAGACAAGTTATTGTGACGTTTTGCCAGGTAGTTAGAAGCAAAGTTTCACTGATTAAAATTAATTAGAGATAAAAATGAAAATGGTATAAAAGATATTTTTTTAATCCTTGCTAGGTCATTCGCTTATCTACATTGGCATAAACAACGAAATTGAGCTATACATCGCTAAAGGCTTAGATCCATCTGAAATTACTAGCGGGGCAAGGTCCAAGTCCTTAACTCGATTTGTTAATATTCTCAGGGATCTTTGTGAGGTGTTTGAACTTCAACCGAAGGCAGTTCATATCTTCTATGATAACAACTCGAATTCAATTGCTTTCAACCGGGGAAGAGCTTTATTCTTCAACTTTAGATTTTACCTTGGGTTACACAACGATGAGGATAGCGACGTTACATCCAGCGAAACTTTGACCTATTGGTACATGACGTTTTGCCACGAGCTAGCGCATAACTTTATTGCACCACATAATTCGGAACATGAAGTGAGTTTTTTTTTTCATTCATTAATAGCAAACTTGTAAACACTCACCATTTTTATTTTCTCTTTTTATTAGTACTACTTTTCTTCCTTCGCCGAGTCTTATATGACAAATTTTCTAATTAAAATGAAAAAACTTGGGATTATTTAATTTTACGTATCGTAACGACGATCTCGGAGCATTTTATAAGTGTTGGTTAATTGTTCTTGGGCTTCCACACTTGACTTTTATATTGTTAATAATTTTGATTTTGTCAATTGAAAATTGTTTGCGACCTTAATGGTATAATTTTTACTAGTTCGCTTATATCACATTTATTTTACCAAAGTTAGATCAAACTTTTAAAATTAGATGTTATAATTAGATTAGAATATTACAACGGTTAAAATTGAGGGGATAGGATCCTATTCTTTCAGAAATTTAATGACAAAGGATCATTTTAAATGATCACATTAGATCCATTAATAATTAATATCGCATATAATATAAAATTTTAATTCCCGTATAGATTTCATAAAATAAATCCAAAGTGCAATTGCACATTTCATCTTCATAGTATACAGTAGCCTGATGTCTATTTTTTTACGCCTCAGCTGCCAAAGTTTCTAACTTTAACCGGTTTGACAGCATTAGAACCCTTCAATCTTGGTTTTTTCGTTAACACATTTCCGTCGACTTTCACTTCACTCGTGTTTGTGTCGAGGATTTTTGTAGTAGAATCATCAACATTATCTGAAGATTTTGATTTCTTGGGCGCGATGTAAGTCTCGTGAATTTTACGCTATTTATAAAAGAGAATTGCTTAAGATTGAAGAAATTGAAGTGCACGAGTGTAGAAGTAGATTTGAAATAAATGGCGTACTCTCTCTTCATTCAGCTTCTTTTTCTTTTCTTCAAGTTTTTTTCTACGTATTAAACTTTTGTTACCGCCACCCCCAGCCGTCAATTCTACTCTTATCTACAAAAAAATGTGTCAGGTCCACACTTATATCTAATATCACCAATAAAATTACCTGTTTATTCTTGAGCTTTGTGTGATGAAACCTTAGCGCTCTTTTCATTGCCTGCGGGTTATCAAATTCTACGAAAGCATAACCTTTTGATCTTCTTGATTTCTTATCGGTAATAAGTCGAACAGACATAGGGGTTCCTAATTATTTTCAACAAGCTGTGAATAAAAACTTATTCTGAATTAATTCTTGAGTGAAGATCATGATATAGAATATAAACTGTTTTTGAATAAGCTACCAGCCGACTCGAAATGCTTGGACAATTCTTCTTTTTTTATATCAAGAGGCAAGTTTGCTTTTTTTTTAAAAAAAAAAATGAAAATTAGATTCGAAAGTTACGCGTAAATGAAATATCACAAATAATGAGATTTTCTTTTTACCAACGAAAACAATAAACCGATTCGTAGGTTTTTTATGAGATTTCTTCTTAGATAAAGGTGAAGAATCCTTGTTATCAGATTTTATTATTACATCGCAATCGTCTACTTTTTCTGAGATCGCTTTGTTCTCTTCTTCCATGAGTTTTCTATCCATCACCTCTTCACCCAAGTTTTCCACTTCCCTGTCATCATTCGCTTCTTCGCTTCTATCGTTAGCATTTGATTTAATTTCTTGCTTTTGTCTTTTATTTTCACGAAAAGAAAGGGTTTTCTGTTGACGTTTCGTTAATTTCTTTGCGCCGGTTAGAGTAGAAGACATTGATGAGCACAGGAGGAAGATCCAAGATATGGTTTTGATCGTCGAAAATTCCTTGATGAATCACGTGGTTACGATCGAAAAATATTTTTTCGATCGTAATTAAGGATCGGAACTATTTTTAGAAAATGGATAACTGTTGGTTGATTTCCCTGCATGTACTCAACGAAGATAAGACTTTTTTTTTTTCATAGCGAATCACGGCATCAAATTTAAAGAGGATTGCAATCTATACACATCTTAGGGCATATAAATAAAAATATAGCACCTCATTGAATTAACTTTCGCGCAGCAATCTTCAAGGGTCTCGTCTCTTTTAAGCTTATTGTTAATTCGAATAATCAAAACAATTACATGCAATTTAGAACTCTGTCCAATTAAATTTTGCCACGGAGACAAAAAAAAAAAAAAAAAACGATTAGAAACACATAAGTTTAAGTTAGCCGTTTAGATAACACGTTATTAAAACATACCTAACAGTCAGCCCGAGACCAACTCCTGTCATTGCCAACCAAACCCACCACCAAAATCTAAATGGTCTACAATTTTTACATAATTGTGGAAAAAAGTTTTGTCACAAAGAGAAGGAATAAATATTTCTTGAGATGATGAAAATCAATAAATCATACCTCTTTTGTTCATTTAGAAATTTCACCCACATCAGAACGGTGAAGGCAGTGGAGGCGACCAGCGGTGAGTCCAACAAGATCAATCTGCTTTGGGTTACCAATCCATTTTCTTTTTTTTTTTTTAAAAAAAAAAAAAAAAAAAATCCCATAAGTTAAAATTAATATGTATTAAAAGAAATCCAGACTTCGAAAATGATGATGAGAATAAGAATATACCAAATATCAATAAAGTTGCTACCATAAAAGCAGAGATGGTTGAAAATCCGGCTAATTTAATGGTCATATAGCTTATTGGTATGACGAATATTCCCGCAATTGTGGGAAACAAACGCATCATTACATATGGGACCTTTGGCTCAAGATAATCTCTAAGTGAAAACCCAGAAATTAGTGGTAATGGTATCATACTCGTCATTTCGCAAAGAATCAAAATCCACTTACTTTCCAATTTCTTTAAAATCAAAGTTTCCGTCAAAACCACCCAATACACCAGCAAGTGCGATTAGCATCTTTGCTAGTGGTGGATGCACGTCCATGAAAAATTGACCTTTAATATATTTCCTAAGAAATCATGCATAAG